CTCAGACTCAGCCAGCGAACTGCTTGCGAACCCGAACGGCAAAGCAAAGGACGAGATCACCGAAGCTGTCGACCGTGTTATTGACAAGTTGATGAGCGGTATTCAAAACGAAGCGCTCATTTCCACGGCCCTGGTCGTCGTATGGCTATTCATTGCCATCGGCGGCCTCGTGTACGCTTCGATTCATCTCTTCCGTCGCGACGATCCAGAACTTGGACGCAACCCATACATTGTTGACCCTTCCCATGACCATGAGCCCAAACCCAGTGCCGACTATCCTACTACTGCACCGCCACAATATGTGCCCAACGACTACAACGTCAACAAAGCAGCGCCATATACGCTTGCGCCCCGGCCCTTCTCTACCTTTGAACACAACGACAGTATCCAACCAGCGACAGAGAAGGTCGGCCAAGTTGGTGCACGCGCGGTGACGGAGTCCGCAAGACCCGGACACCTACGTGTGAGTAGTCATGGTCAACTCGCTGATCCCTCCCCGGCCGATGACCGCGCCGGTCCATTCTCGAATCAATACGCTCAGTCGCCATATCCGCAAGAAAAGCAACAGCAGAATCCGTTCATCTAAGATCCGTATTTGTCGAATAATTATGGCAAACCTGTCGCCGACCACCTGACCTTTTGCTTGCCTTCTGCGTCAACCGGTCGGCGACTGGACTTGCTCCTAGACAACCAACGACCTGACCGACCTGCGATGAGCCGTAATTGCTCAGACCGAACCTTGCGTTTGAAGTTTTCTCTCCCTTCTTCATGATGATGCGAATACGCTCTCTGAACAGGGAGTATGGCACATGTTTTCGCGTTGATGAAACTTGCTTCTCCGCTTTCATGTGTCGGTGTTTCTATTTCTACATTTTGGCCCATTTTTCTTTTCAATATACCCCCACCACAATGTATTATTTCCTGTGTTTATTTGTCTTGTGTCATTGCTCTCTCTTGCGGGCGCGTGTTGGATTGATATCCCCTCATCGCGAAGTTTGACAGCGAAGCTCTGCGGACAAGTCATCTTCATCTCCCTTTTTTCCTCGAGATGAGATGCATGTATGTCCGCAGATGTCTTTCCATCAAATGATGAGGTTTGTGTATATCTCCTTGAGTATGTCTGTTCCCGAGGTCCCTTACGCCTGATCCTCTGTTCCGCCCTCCTACCCTTATTTCCCTTGCTCTTCATTCCACACCTCGACGTTGCATCGCCGCCGCACCGCGTCCTCGCCGTGGCTTGCCCGCTTGGCGCGCTTGCACAGGCGACCTCTTGGTGTGAATAATGTCGTTAGCTCAAGGACGCAATGAGGATAGCGACGTGTTGTGGAACACGAACCGGCAATATGTTGGATATGACTCGCTCATTCGCCACGCCTCTCCTTTCTCCCATTTTTCAACTCACCGGCCCTTATTCTGGCTTTGTATGCTCTGCACCCGTCTTTCGCGGCTGTTGCTGGGGGGAGAAAATAAGGAGAGGTTGATGTGCTGATTGGTAACAAGCGTTGTGCTTTCCTCCCATTTTCCTACCCCTTGACATGTATTTTTCTCGCGAGGACTCTTGTCGAGGGAGACATGGAAAATGCGTCGACGTTGAAAGCCGACATTTTTGTGTTTGTGTACGGGTGGAAGCATCCTCGTCCCTTTGGATGAAGGGTTGGTTTTAGCGTTTTTTTTTTCATTAAACGCCGCGCGAGTTGATCCCGTGAGGCGCTTGCGCCCGGGACCTGTTTTTTTCACACTGGCGCACGACGCATGTAGTGATAGGAACCCGTCTAGGAATCCGTCTAGGAATCAATCTTGTCCACCCTTATGCTTTGTTTGCCTTGTTAGCCCGGTCTGGGCTACAAAGGAAAAAAAAAGAAAACTCGTGTTATGTAGATGTTATCGCGACGGGGAGGGAGTCGCTCACATTCTTTTATATTACTCTATTTTATCTTCGTAGAACTCATCCAATGGAATGATGCTTGTTCGCCTTGAATCGTGCTATTGTTGATGCTATGCCGGCCGTGTTGCGAGACGAAGTGGTGATATTTACTTGAACACTGGTTTAGAAGATGTGATACAGTGCAAGATTGAGTGATTAAGCCACGCTTTGTGGTATTTTATTGATTTGGGGAACTTGTAGATCAGCTAAATCGTCTTGTACGTCCTAAATTGCGCTGCTCGTGTTATACCGGCCCCCCTCCATGCTACGATTTATGGAGGCTCATCATTAGTGCGAAAGTACGCGCGCAGCCCTTTTAAGATTCAGACGGTGTGGACTTGAGTTGTAGGATGGTAAAGGCATGTTTCATAAGTGGAGCATTCATCGTTTTCACATTGATACACAGGTGCTTTATGTAGTGACTGGTGGTTGTGCACTAAGCAGACAAGTGTTTTCTCCTCCCCTCACGTCGCTTCAATAACCCTATCCCTCTGTGCAACTCATCATCCTGACAGTCTTCCACAACCAAAAAAGCCCTTTTTGTCTATGGCTGCGCCCAGCATTCATCCGCCGCCGTTGCACCACAAGAGGTCCCGATCCGGCTGATAAAAGGTGTTCCTAGGTGTGTCGGAGGACAACCTCTAGAGTCGCAAGTGCAGCAGCTACCGCGCGGGTAAGTGCATTCAGAGCCTTCCCAGCAAAATGCTGAAACTGCAGTCGTCATGGTGAATAGGAGAACTGCGCGTAGAAGCATGGTCTGTACTAGGTTAGACTACGGACAAGCCTGCTTTTAAGTAGGTGGTTGGAGACTTACGAAGGGATGCGATGGGTAATGCGTCGATGATGGGATCTTCCAAGTTTGATAAGCTGGTTGATTGTCGTACCGATCTGGATGGTATACACTGACAGCAAGTGCGTGGGTAGTATTTGCTTGTTCAACGGTAGATTTGATCGTAGAGTTTGAGAACGGAAGGCACGGAAACTCAATATATGTGTTATGCCAACACTAGAAGTGGGTCTACAGGGAAGTATTCGGTGCGATAGGATCGTTGTTGCTAGGTGTGGAGTTGGAGGGAAAGGGTGCCGACTTACCTGTCTGTCAGACAGGACGATCGTTACTGATTATGACATGGCAATCGACTGACCGTATGGAGATCGTAGACGATGCGGAGCGGACAGATCCGTTATATGAGTTTGGTTACGCGTCGATGCTGAGTAAGACTTCAACTGCATCTGCTGGTTGGAGTGGTGGACAGAGATCACGTGCGGGTTTTGAGCATCGTTGTGGCTGCGGGGTTGGAGTGACGGGTGGGAGATTGATTGTCTGATAGACAGAACGGTAGATTGCTGATCGGATTTAGGAGGAAGACGTGTAGGTTTTTATATATGTAGCGCTCACCTTCTCTGACGAAGTACATATCAAAGACGTCAAGAGACTTCTCTATGACTTGGGTGCTTGATCAACAGTAGAGATTACATTCGAGTGGTGTGTTGATGAGGTGACAGGAAGGCAGTTATCAAACTGATGAGAATGTTCGCATGAATGATTGTGGAGAAGAAGTTGTAGAATACTCCCTCAGCCTGTATTTCACGTCAAGCTTGAAGTTTAAGTCTGGTTCTAGGTCGATTGTGCGTGTAAACCGGGCAGAGCAGCTCTTAAGTTAGATATAATCCTGATATAAAATAGCCGACGTTCTTGATCAAGTATACTCGCAGATCGTAGAAGCCGGTACTGCATCAACTTGATTGTGGATACGAAGTCGTGTGTGATGTGGATGTGTGCTGGCTGGACCCTGGCCAAAGCTTCCGCGGCAATGACGATGGTCCGCCGAGCTCCAGGCACCTCCACCAGCACTCATGAAGCTTTCGGAGCGCGCAACAGTAGTCGCATAGCGACAGCAATACTGGCAAATGAACCAGTAGTTAGGAAAATAAACCACCATGCTCTCTGCATTCACCGCCCGACCCATCGTCGAGCTCAAACAGCGCGACAAGTCCAAGATCGAGTCCATCCTTGCCTATGGTACGATGGCTTGTCACTGTGGTATTAGCGGTGATTGCTGACACTATCAGGCGATCGTGTACTCGTAGGCCTGAATACGGGCTCTCTCCGTATATACCGGGTAAACGACCAAATCGATGGTGTCGAGGGCGACGGCAAGCCGAATGGTGAGCAGAACGGCGACCAGGCCGACGCTCCCACTCTCAAGCGCAAACCCGCCGACCTCCTTCGCGAAGAGGAAAAGTTCTCCCGACGGCCGATACAACAGCTAGCCATAATCAAGGAAGCGAATATCCTTGTATCTCTATCGGATAACTATGTCTCGATTCACGACATACAAACGTACCAGTTGCAGGAAAAGCTAGAGAAGACGCGGGGGGCTACCACATTCGCTGCGGCGAGCAACATTGTAAAGGACCCGTCAACTGGCATCCCGTCTATTGTGAGCCATCTCGCTGTGGCGGTGAAGCGCAAGATCATTCTGTGGACATGGCAGGATATGGAGCTGACTGGCGATGCTGTTGAGCTATCACTCATCGCTTCAGTCAAGAGCCTGACATGGGCGACGGGAACCAAGATTGTCGCTGGCATGGACCCAGGCTTCGTGATGGTTGATATTGAAACACATGATGTACAGGACATCATCAAACCAGGCGCGCTGGGAGAGAACGGTAACCAAGGCGGCGGCGCCCGATTTGGCGCTGTCTCTTCTTCCGGTATGGGATACATGGGCATGGGCAGTTGGGTGCCGAAGCCTCTTGCGACACGGCTCGGAGAAGGCGAAATGCTGCTCGCAAAAGACGTCAACAGCTTGTTCATCGATACAGAAGGAAACGCCCTCGACAAGCGCCAGGTTCCTTGGCAATCTGCACCCGAAACTATCGCATACTCATACCCGTACATGCTGACGTTGCTGCCGCCTTCAAAGGGCAGCCTCGAAGTCCGAAACCCAGACACACTCAATTTACTGCAGCTGATTGCTCTACCAAACGTCAACTTCCTCCACGTCCCTCAGCCCAACATTAGCTTGGCCCACGCCGGCAAAGGCTTTTTGGTTGCAAGCGATCGATGCATATGGCGTATGGGTGCACAGAGCTATGAGACACAGATCGATGAGCTAGTCGCAAATGGGCGCTATGACGAGGCGCTGAGTCTTCTCAACATGCTTGAAGATACGCTTCTTGTTGACAAAGAGGGCAGGGTGCGGGAGATACAGATACTCAAAGCGCAGGCGTTGTTTGACATGAAGAAGTACCGTGATGCCATGGAACTGTTCATTGATGCAAAAGCACCACCTGAGCGCGTCATTGCAATGTACCCTAGATCTATCGCGGGAAACTTGGCTCCGGAGGATAGTGTCAAAGGAGACGGGAGCGTAGCTGATGAAGAAGACACCAACGGAGAGAAGGTGGCGAAAGAAGCCGAAGAAAGCACGCCTGGCCCTGCATCCACGATTGGTCGGTCGATGATGGGCCGCTTTGGAGTCGGTGGTCACAAAAAGGTAGACTCGGATGCTGTCTCTATCCGCACAAACTCAGCCAAGGATGAGTCACCAGAGGCTGGGACACCGAAGAAAAAGCCAGCTGACCTTTCACCGGCCGACAAAGCGGCAGCCGATAAGGAGTTCAAAGATTCTGTTCGGGCTTTACAGTCTTTCCTTACCCAATGCCGTGTTCAGATCAAGCGATACATTGATACTGATGGAAATCTGAAAGAACCTCTACCTACGCCGAGTGGCAGTCAGCTAGAAGCTGAGAAGCCACCGTTCCACTTCTTCATCGAGGAAGCATCTCTGGAGTCTCCGATAGACTGGAAAGCGAAGCTACTGGAAGTGGCACAGTTGGTCGACACAACGCTCTTCCGTGCTTACATGATTGCAAATCCCAGCGTTGCAGGCTCACTGTTCCGTCTGCCCAACTTTTGCGAGCCGGATGTGGTACAAGAGAAGCTGTATGAGACTGGTCGGTATGCAGATCTCATTGACTTTTTGCATGGCAAGAAGCTGCATCGACAGGCGTTGGAGCTACTGGACAAGTTTGGGAAGAATGAAGCTGATGAAGAGGTATCTCCGGCGTTGCAGGGACCGCAGCGAACGGTGGGATATCTGCAGGCGCTACCACCAGAACTGATAGATCTTATCCTTGAGTACGCTGAGTGGCCGCTACGCACAGATCCGAAGCTCGGCATGGAAGTATTCCTTGCCGATACGGAGAATGCGGAGACCATTGCCACGGGACAGGGTGCTCGAGTTCTTGCAGAAGATTGATGTAAAGTTGGCCGTCAGATATCTGGAACACATTATCGAGGAGCTGAACGATCTCAACGTCGACTTCCACCAGCGACTGGTTGATTTATTGCTCGAGAAGCTGAAGAGTGGTGATTTTGAGAATGACGAGGAGAAGCAGGATTGGATGAGGAGACTGCAGATGTTTTTGAAAAAGGACAACGCGCAGTACAACCGATATCGCGTATTCCAGCAGTTGCCGGCCAATGGTACGTGTTTGCAGATGAGCCAGTGGGCAATTGACTAACAGACATCCAGACCCGGATTACTACGAGGCCAGGGCGATTGTACTAAGCAAGATGGGTTCGCACAAGCAGGCATTGGCAATCTATGTGTTCCAGCTGAAAGACTACAACAAGGCTGAAGAGTAAGCTCCGTTCAGATGTTGTGCATTGTAATAAACTAACGTTGGTATAGATACTGCAACCAGGTCTACACGGCTCCGCCACCATCTTCACCGACCAAGAGCTCGCAGCAAAGTACAAATATCCAGGGCACTATTGAAGACACGGAGCTTTCCATCTACCACGTCCTCTTATCCTTGTATCTCTCACCCCCACCGCCCAACCAACCCAACTGGCCTCCCGCGCTCGAGCTTTTGTCTAAACATGGCGCCCGACTACCGGCGGCAACAACGCTTGATCTGGTTCCCCCAACGCTGCCTGTCAAGGATCTGGAGTCATACTTTTTCGGTCGGATGCGCAACGCAAACTCGCTTCTCAACGAAGAGCGGATTGTAGCTCATCTTCGTGGCGTGGAAAAGGTTGCTGTCGAATCGGCCGTGTTGCTTGGTGCTGATAACAAAACGGATCAATACGGAAGGAAGGTGCCGGGTGGGTTAAACAGGAGGGTAGTGATTGACGAAGACCGACATTGCGCAGTATGCCACAAGAGGTTTGGGGGTAGTGCGATTCGCGTGTTTCCGGACAACAGCGTGATACATAGTGGTTGTATGAGGGGTAGCGTGGGTAGGAGGACGGCTGGTGCGTCTGGGTGGCGTTGATGAGGGTTCGTATGTATTGATAGATAGCCGTGGTATGCTATGTAATTATATCATGTGCATGCTCAGTCTTGATCCACGACCTCTTCGCCATACGTCTCCTCGTCCTTTGCATCGTCGGCAGCCTTGTCGTCGGCCATTTTCTGCGTCAGAAACTCGTTGACATCCTTTTGCATGTTCTTGAGTGACGAGGAAAGTTCAGCAAGATATGCAACTCGGTCCGCAGTGGGCGGCGGGGAGGAGAGTGCGGGGAGCTCAGCGGTGAATGTGCGTGAGGACGAGGTCGGGGAGGTGTAGGTGGCGGTCAGGAACGGCATGGCAGCGTAGATAGGGTTTATTTGGGGAAGATGGTGGTGAAGGGAAGATTGGCGGGGGTTCTAGCGGCGTCAGGTTATGTGGAGCTGGCACGGCCACGATGCGTCGATCGTTAACGGCGCGCGTGGCAGATGTATCTCTATACAATGTGGTTCGACGTCTGCGCACTTGTCCCCCACCACCGTGACTGATGCTCGAATAACGCCCTCTACTTCAATTGTCCCGTGCTGGCCATGGAAGTCTTCTCATAGCGACAGCCGTCTGTCCCTTCACGCTGACACCGCCGTCGCCGCGCCGTCCAACGGCGGCATCAGCGCAATCGCCGCATAGTTTGCGCAAGGACGCTGTAAACAGCCACATTGTCGCAATACCCGTAGGACGAATCGGCCTGCAGTGCAACCGCCCGCCATGCCGTCGACCTCACCTCCCCCTACGCCTTTGATCCGTCGCCCCGTCTCGCTCGACGACTCCGACTCGGACAGTTCGCAGGCGACGCTGCAACAACGCCGCTCTCCACTGCCCACGTCGGTACTGTCACCCTCGGCACGTTCGCCGCGCTCTCTCGACCCGCCTACTGCTGGCCCCCCGCCGCCGACACCGTCATCTTCTTCATCGTCATCGGCGCAGAATTACTCACGGCCGGGCTTTGTGCGCGATGCAACCCAGAGCCAGGGTCACATCGGGGCGCATAATATAGGACACCGCCCACGCCAGCGCTCGCAGGGTTACTTTGAGCCCAGCCTCAGTTCGATGCGTGAAGGTCAGGGTCAGCTCACGGCCTCGCAGATTGCTGCCCAGGCCGCATATGCCCAGAACCCCCAGCACATCCGCAAGCGTTCCACCACCATCCCCGCTCCCAATGAGCAGGCACAGGCGGGACGCGGCCAGCCCATGAGCCCCCCGCCTGTGCCTACGCAAGGCGTAACCTTCAAGACCAATGGCATGTCGTACCAGAATGGCGTCGTCGGTGGACGGATGGCCGCGACCACGGCGGCGAATGCTGCATTTCCTCGTAGTCCGCTGAATTCACCTGGTATAGAGGGGGCGCAGCCACAGTCGTCGCCTAAGCCTGCATCGACTCCGGAACCACAGCAGTTGCAAAAGATAAAGGAGAGCAAAAGCAAGATGAAACTGTTTTCGTCCAAGCCAAAGAACATCAAAGTGGACAACCGCCTGGACAGCAAGCACCAGGCACTGCCGTCACCGGGTAAGATTGGCATTGGCATTCACAGCTCCCAGGCCCTCAATCGCATGATGATGGCCGGCTCGACGACGAGCCTGGTCGAGTCGACCGTCAGCAGCAGCACCTCGCTGTACTCTTCTGCCAATGCCTCCACGTCCACTCTAGTTCCCCCACGGAATGATTCGCTGCCGGAGCGGAAAGAGGAGAAGCACAAGCACCACTTCCTGTCACGGCAGAAACACAAGCTCAAAGACCAGGACAGTTTTGCTCTTCCCCTGTCGTCAGCGAACAGCAACTCGAAGCCCACAAATCCCAGTGCGCCAGAACCCCTCTACTCCTTCGCCGCGCCTTCTTCGCCAGGCCATTCCAGCACTTTTGCTAGTTCTGTGACTGGTCTGGATCTGCGACACGGTGGGCGGCATTTGAGACGCGCCAAAAAGGAGGAGAAGGCAAACGCTTTTCTCGACGCTCAACTAGAGCCTCCGTACAGAGAACGGATGAACTCGGTTAGCACGGAAAGAGCAGAGTGGCCGTCATTAGCGAGCAATATCACAAGTGCATCAAGCCACACCACGCCTGGACAGACGATATCACACACGACGGAAATGTTGCATCTAGGCAGCTCGTTCGGCATCAATGGCCTGTCACCAGACGACGCCTGGCCGTTGTTGAAAGCAAGAGTGTTACTAATCTTCGAAGGCGAGGACCCACGACCACCTGTAGAAGACTTCAACGCCCTAGTCACTGTACACATCAAACGCTGCATTCACAAGCGCTCCCCCATAATCCTCATAGAAGACCTCAACGAACTCCTCTCCACCGGCTTTGGCTCCCTAGACCAGACGCTCCGACACGTGCCCGATGACCGGCTTATCCCACATCTTGTAGAGATGTGGCTTGTTGTATTTACCACCATCCTTCCCTTCTTACAAGCTGTATTCCTACCCCTCGACCTGGAGTTTAGAGGCTCGGGCATCATGACATCGGCGCAAGCCGCCGAGTTCTGGGGCGTCATGCTGCCGGATGAGATGAACACGAAAAGTCCAGATCACCTCAACATACCCATTCTAGGCGAACTAGAAGTCCGACGCATCACACTCCTCATATTCAGAGACATTGTCATACTTCCACGCTACGAGGCGCTAATGGCCATTTTCTCCCGTCTATCCCTCGAGAACCTAAACGCGGGATTGGAATCTCCTTCTCCCATTCCACACGACACACGCCCAGGCACCGCGGGAAGCGCAAACGATGTCCTGCCAATGGGTAGTCTTAATTCCACCTCCCAGAGCTCAGGCGGCTACTTAGAATCCACAACCAGTATAACATCCTCGACGTTCGCCAGCACAAGATCCCGCGCTACCTCCAACACATCCGCTGGTTCCTTCTCCTCAAACCCCTCGCAACATCCACCTACCATGTCCCACCTCCACCCCCCGCCGCCTACCTCGCACTCCAACCTCCCGCCCGCCGCCCTGCGCCAACAACCAATGGACTCGACCAAAGTCACCGAAACAGTCGGTCGCATGCTGCAATGCGTGTCTGTGCTAGTTAGTCTGCAGTCCAGCGATGATGCACAGGAAAAGATTGGTAGGTTGAACAAGGAGCTCAAGTATAATTGGCTGGGTAGGGGCAGGACGGGGAGACAGCGGCAGGGTTTTGTGGGGCCGAGGAGTAGAGGGGGTGGGTTGAATCTTGCAGCCGGGGGGATTACGGTGCCGGGGTTGGCCTAGGTGTAGGGTGGATGACATGTGGGTTCTGTTTTAGGGGAGGGGGCGTTTTCGAAATGGATAGATACGAGGTTATATGGGACCCCAAGGGCTGCTTTTTAGTCCGTGATGGACGGGAAAGGCGTTGTTGTTGCTGTTGCTTGTCGTGGGATTAGCGAGGGTTCGTCTGGGTTTTGGTGTTTGCTCTCTTTCTTTCTTGTTTGGCTACATGTATGATTCAAGACGTTATCCATGTCTTGTTGCTGTCCTGTTCTTTTTATGAAAGAAAACGACATCCAGAAAACAAAAGGCTGTCTGTCTGCCTTGGTATCCATCCAGTATATTACATGCCCATCCATCGTACATTGTTCGGCTGTTGGTGGAATTCGCAATGAGTGAGCCGTTTTGTATCTTGAAGTTTTGGATACCGGGCGCTTGGTAGCTAGCGCCGCTTATACCCGCTTGGCGGCTTTAACTGAGGAGGCAGGCTTACCTGACCGGGCTGGGAAGTCAGGCACGACTTACCGCTTTTGGGCAACTGTTGCATTGGTGGTTATGTGGGGGGGGGGGAACTACAGTACGTACGTTCCTCGGTATCTGGGTTATTAAATATGAGAGCTTTACCATATGTTCTTTCCTGTTCTATAGTTACATCCTTTCGAAATTCGTGAGACAGTAAAAAAATAAAGCTCGCAAATAGTAAGTAAAAACGACTAGACTGGAATCTTCAAGGAGCAGGAGTGGCTAATCCTTAGCGATATGATAGTGTCGAATACTACTCTCGTCCCCCTTACCATCATCAAAGGCGCAGGCCACGAACACATTGCCCTCCCCGAAGGCGACAACGCAACCGTAGCAGATTTCCACACGTACGTCCTCCCCTCCTCCCCTCCTACCCCATCCGTCCATCTAACCCACCCCCCACAGCACCCTCACGCAAACCCCCACCACCACCCCAACACCCATAACATCTGGCTTCTACAAAATCACCGCCGGCCCATCCAAGCCGGCCGCCTACACGTTCGAAGAATCCAAATACGTCCTCAGCGGCCAAATCGACGTCCTGGACGAAGCAACGGGCATCACGCATCACCTTGTGGCGGGCGACTTTGCGTTTTTCCATGTGGGGAGCAAGGTTCAGTTTTCGACGAGGAGTGTGGGTATGGCGTTTTATGTTGTTACGAGGCCGGTGAGGGTGGAGCATGGGGGGTTGGTGGGAAGGGCGGAGGGGGAGAAGGCGAGGTTGTGAGGTGGGTGTTGGAAATGAGGAAGGGTTAGGTACGGCATATTATCTTTGTCCTGTTTGCCGGCACGGCTGTTTTTGTTCATTGAATAGGATATTTGCACAGCCTCGATTTCTGGAAACTACGCCGCAATTAGCTTTTTTGACCCTTGTCGGACGTCGTACTCGCGGCACATTGGTAGCACGGCCCCGGTTCAAAGAGAGGGTTTAGGTATTCAAACAGGTTCTTATGCGTATATCTGGCCTATGGCGATGTGACCGTGTCCGTTTGTGCCACTGCCACGCAGTACGATGCGTATGACAAGGCTGGATAAAGTAATTTGGGTGCCGTGACGTAGGGTTGAAAGTAACGCGCGTTACATTGGCCTTTGTATCCTCACTGGTTTCGATCCTCACCTTTGGCACACTTGCAGCAGCATCCATCACTCCAGATACCCATACCGCGTCCATCTTGTTATCGCAATACAACATGACCATGTCTGGATTCAACTGGCCGTCGAGGTCGACAATTACCATGGTTGCGGGGGATCCAGGTGACTCCACGTCTACAAGCGTCTTGTCTACCTACCAGACTTCTTCGGATACTACCTTGATGACCGTTTCCTATACCGACACGGTGTCTTCTACCCCGTCTGTCGTCATATCTAGTGGGTCCTCGACCGTGTCTTCTACTTCGGCTGTCGTCATATCTAGTAGACCCTCGACCGTATCTCCAATCATCTCGACATCATCACCCATATCGCGAAATCCAGGTCCAGGAAATACCAGCATTTCAACGCCCTCAGTCAGAAGACCCGAGGTAGCATCCGTGTCTAGTAATAGTAGCGCACGCCTAGGAGCCGGCGCGATCGCAGGCATAGCCGTCGGCGGCATACTACTCCTTGTTCTCATCGTATGCGCTTGGTTCTTCTGGCGGCTTAGAAAGCGCCTCACTCCCGCCGTCAATTCAGATGAAGACCTTGGACGCAGAGACGAGAAAGTGACTTTCGGGGCGAGTGCCCCTACAGATTTCACCGGCGTGTTCAACGATACAGCGTTTCAAGGACTACCTGTTACTGGCCAGCGCCATGAATTAGAACCTCCTCGCTATCATAAATCGGATCTGGTCCATGAGCTCGACGGGTCCTCGCGGCCGGGCGAGTTACCGTCTAAAGACGCATCATCGCATACGGTTGAGTGTCTCAAAGTGGCTGATGCTGGAAATATAGAAACAACCGACGACGTGGCATTTGATGGGGAAGCGCAAAGGAGGAGAGAGGTGGAGTGGTTGGAAAAGGAGGAAGCGAGGATAAGACATAAACGGGAGACGCTTTTGCAGCAGCGCGTTCAACGATTGGTTTGAGATCAAACATATGATTTTTTTCCAATGTTTTACATGTCTATCCAGGATATCTTTGCTTGGGTGGTCGTACTTGTGTGTAGTAGATAATGTATGTATAAATATTAGGAAGTAATATCGATGCTTAACAGTAGTACAAGAAAGGCAGGTTGTGCAAATTTGACCATTGCTTCCACTCATAGTCACTTAGCTATCCAAATCGATTCTGCGATAGTCGTGGGATAGTACCCATTAATAGACGGATTGTAAGATGACCGCTAGGAAATTCAGCAGTGCTGCCGCGTTATATTCGTATGGATGGCTAGTTGTTGTGGCTACTTATAACTACAGCCTTTGTCTTCATGCTACAATAAGTACTAATATGTCGCTACCACTATCGCGTATTGTTTTCCGGTATCTTCCGTGCTGGATTCAAAGCTTTGGTATCTACTCTAATACTCAGTAACCAAGTCGACGAACGAATTCGAACCGAATCGACATTGACTGATCTAGTCTTAGGAAAGAAGCTTACCTACTAGCTTAACTTGTTTGCGGCGTACAGGTCTGGATCTTGTGTTTCTGTTTCGCAGAGATGAATTTCATTGACCAGTTGTGGTTTTCTCAAAGCTCATCGTGTGGTTGGGACAATGGAATCAATACTCTCAAAGCCCATTGGAAACAATGCTTGCGAGATGACTTTCGCGAGTAGCAACAACCCTGGTACTCAGTATGGAGTTGAACCGCACGATCAGACACAAGCCCATAGCAATCCAAAGCCACCGTATAACGCGATCGCCAACTGGCGCAAAACCAATAAGGCTGTTCTAGCGTATGCATCTGTCAACACAGCATATACATGTTCCCATGCAAGAGGAAAGAGCTCCAGTTAATTACGAACAACGACTCGGGTACACAACACAGCCCGACTAAAGACACGAAAAGAAAGAAAGAAAATGTAAATCCTAGAGAAAGAGGGGCATCCTCGCTCTATCCCCCTTTCCCTAAATGCAGGGTCTAACGGACAAAGCACAGGCCTTCTCACACTAGTTACGTCACCAGCCACTCACCTGCATATCAAAAGTACAAATCATGTAAACGATAAACCCAATTCCCCAAAGCATGTTTAAATAACACTTCAGATTCATGGAGAACGGAGAACTACTTATCTACCAAACAAAGCTCTATCATCCTACTCCGCCGTTTCACCTTCAACTCCCAATCTACACGCACCCGATAACATTGACGCGGATACCCTAGACCCATCCCCCAACGGCAAGATTAGCACAAGCACAAACGATAGATCAGCACACAGGGTTTAGCACGCGGGAAGCGGAAGCACAGAAAAATGGGTTCGTTCAATGGGGGGAGGCTGTGCATAGCGGCTATCAATTAGCTAGTTAGCTAGCTAGGTACAACCAGTATCCATAAGTGCGGGACCCAAAAGTAGCGAGCCGAGTCAAGTGTTTCAAGCTAGTGATGACTTACCACAACCCGATGTCACCACGGGTAAGTAGTTAGATGGGCATTGGTAATTCTTAGGTCGGCGCTGGGAAGCGTCGAAGAGCATGACTCTTGGGGGATGGTGGTGGCGGTCCCGGTGGGGGGCTGGGGCTTGGGGTCTGAGTAGAGAAGATTAGCTTTGCGGGTTCAATCCGGCGGTGCCTGGTAATGGGATGGGGTGGTACTTACACTTGAATCGTTACCGCTGGCGAGATTCAGGAGTAGAGTGGTTGCACTTAAGGTGGTGCTGTGACGATTTCGTCTAGGAGATGGAGGTGGTGGCTGGGGAGGTGGGCTTGGGCTTGGTTTGGGGTCGGCAGAGTCAAGGGTTTGGTAGAGAGGATAGGGGTCTTGTTGGAGGGTATTGGGCGTGGGGGACTAGGGGAGTCGTGTTAGTGGAGTGCTATAGGCTTGTCGGAGATATGGTAGCGAGGGGAGAGATGAAAACGCGTGTTGGGCGAAGGTAGACTTACTAGAGACTGGTCCAGCATATTGATGGTGTACGGGGGATCCTCGTAGAATTGACGCATTTTGTAGAGGGGTGTTTGCAGATTGTTGTAGATACTTTGCTGTTGTGGAAGCTTTGGGCAAGTAATCGTGGTTGATGTTGTTGATGTAGAATGGAGGGCCAGAATCCGCTCCTTATATACCTCTTGCTCGTATTGCATATCAAGTAGCTTCTTCGATCGTTGTGAAGAATACGTGTGTTACAGATGAGGTTTGCAGATAAGAGATATTGTTGGAACATGGGTGATTAGCAAACACTGAAGGCTGACAAAGGGCCCGATATGCGGATGAGTATGCATATTTGATCGCCGAGATAGCGATGAATTGAAGTCCATTTACCCGCGAGATTACTCATCTCCACATCTTCAATCATCTGTCCAGTTGTTCCAACAACGTCATGACACGCAAGGACCAGTGAAGCGATTAGAATGATTTAACCAATTAATTGCTAAGCCCATAGAGATGAGCAGTAAACATTACGTTTGCTACCTATATGTACACGTGCAGTCGGATCTCGTTATCAACAAAAAAAGATGGTGTCTCACAGAGACTAGCAAAAAGAAATGCCAAGGAATGGGCGTATATACCAAACGCTACCCATGGCAACCACAAAAGAGCCGTCTAGTTCGGTAAACCGAACGTGATTACAAGGAGTAGCGAATGTATAGAGTAAGGGGTATAATGCAGGAACGTATCCAAGACAAGAGCGGACTGGCCGGGTATCAGAAAGAATGAAGAGGGTGAAGGTTCGTACAGTTGTGCACACAAGGCCAGGATCGCTAAATGACGTAACAAAGCAAATTTCAAGAGGAAGAGGGCAAACCAGGGAGGGAGTGGGTACAAGCAAGGGAAAAACTAGGACAGCTCACGCCATCATCATGAGTCTCGTTCCGCGTTTTTGTAGGTTTCGGGGTTGGTAGTTTCCGGGTCCAAGACGACTTCTTGGTGGTGCTGCGGCGCTTTGTGCGTGGCGCTCGCAGTATCTTCGACCGGAGACTTCAAAATAGCCGTCGCGGAGGACGATACGGCACGTCGTGCAGGTGAAGCATCTAGGATGGAACTTTTGACGGGTGTCGGTTTCGAGGTATTGGCCTTCGATACCATGATTGCAGGTGCTGCATAAAGACCCGTTTAGCTTGTGGTAGTGGTGTTCACAGTAAGGCGAGTTCTCGTAGACATAGAACTCGGCAGTGGGGAAGGGGTCCGAGCAGGTTCTGCATACAAAGCAGTGCTTATGGTAGCGTCCGGTGAGACGGCCCGAAGAATCCTTGACAGACTTTCCGACAATGGGTTCGGAGCAACCGCGGCAGTTGCCCTTGCTTGCCTTGCTTGGTCGACGCACTTCGGCTTGGCGTGATTCGTATGTTGCCATGGGGGTTGATTCGCTTCCACTGACTTCCGCTGGGTCCCGTGCAGGACTGATGTCCCTCGTGCGAGGTGATATCGCACCCATCTGGACAGCAGGGTCCAGCGGAGATTCTGGGTACTTGGCATAACCTCCTGGAGGGAAGGTGGGCTGGCGCCATCCTGGCGAAAGTGCTCGTGGAACCGGTCCTGATCCATCAGATCTCATGTAGCTTCTAGGCGCGCGGACAGGTCGTCCTTCGGCATAAGACTCGGGGCTTGCGCTTCTTGGAACGGGTTCCATGGGTTCCTCATCAACGAAATCTGAGCGGCTGACCTTGGAAACCTGTCGTGAGTGTGCCGCTTCTGACTCTGGCGGGCTTGACCGAGAACTGGCTATACTCCGGAAGCCAGAGCCATAGGAATCATCTGAGAATCCAGAGTCCGAAGGCGTGTGAAGCGCGTTCAGTGGCACGTCACTGAGGCCAGAGGCACCCAATGGAGCAGGGCGTAAAGCGTGAGATGGTGCAAGACCTCTTGGCATATCGCTCTCTGAGCCACTACGGCTTGACCCACGTGAAGGGAACATGGTGTTTGGGAGAGACATGAATTCTTGGGTATCCAGATCATGCATGTCAGACGGGAGATCCTTTGTGGAAGGTCTTCGTGGTCGTACCGGCGGCTCCCGACTGTTTTGACGTACTGGCTTCTCATCGGCTGTGGTAGAAGGCTTAGATTCCCTCTGCAAGCGGTCCAAGAAATCGTCAATACCTTCAATTTGTTCTGAAGTGGAGGGCAGAGGGGACTGTGCATTAGCTGGCCCCATTCCAGGCTTCGGGCGGGAAGGAAGGCCGATACTGCGGTTCGAGTATGCAGAGCTATGCGACGCATTCGATGCCACAGAGCCATTTCTTCTCGGTACACTCCTAGCGCTTCCAATGCTGCCATTTGTGGGCGTTCTCTTATGTTCAATCGCGTGGTTCTCCTCTGTTACCTGTCTTGTCATACTAGGTCTCCGGTCAAATGGGCCTGGTGCAATGTTTTCTAAACGCTTTGAGATGTTTTCTCCGCCGTTGAACCTCGGGCTCAACGGTGCAAATAGAGCATTGGGCTGGGCGTAATCTTGTGGATAAGGGTCTAGGCGTTGCCGTGGCTGAGGTTTGGGGCTGCTGGGCGCATTCTTGGGTGGAAATCGAGGAAAGGGTGAATCCAAATTCGAGGTCAGACCAGGTGATGGTGGTCCCATACTCCGAGCATTGGGAGTTGTCACACTGCGCGTCATCTTGAAGGGGGATTTCGGGGGTGCTAGGCCAGGCGTGCGACTCCTGGGACTCTGACTACTCATAGGCGACGGCTCCAATGGACGGAATGGCCTGTCTAGAAAGGTCAGCATTTGGTTCTTGTGTCCGTTTACTGGCTACTTACTCGCTGCATTGGAATCAATCCGGGGAGGAGGAGGCATGCGACCAGTCGGTGCTGGTCCAGCTGATCTGTTACTGAATGTCGGTCCTTGGAAAGTGGCGGCGCGGTTGAGCTTCGGGGAAACTATTGAAGAAGGTGAGCCTGTCGAAAGTGTCGAGGTAGGCGACATGGGCTCTGGAACAGCAGTTGCTAAACACTATAAGCTTTGGAAGGTATCACACAGTCGCGTTCCACTCACTGGAAGGGCCTGCTGTAATACAAACATGATCGGCCAAGTGAAGGATATCGATATCGGCAGCACAAGAAGAGCATTTTATTGTGGGAAGAGTGCTCATGCGATCCATCTTGGAGGTGTACCCAGAGCAGATTGGGAAGAAAAGAGTCGAGGCAGGCCTTGCCTGATTTTGTTAGGGTTGAAATGGTCCACGTCCAGCGGTTGATCGATCACAGCAATATTAAAAGCTGATGACATGGAGGAGAATGAGGTTTGCGGGCAATTGGTGAGGACGGATGCGGGCGCTGACATACAAAGCTGGACAAGGGCAGGGCTGTTTGATCTTCAGAAACGGTGAGGGTCGTGCTGAATCAGGGGCAGCATGCAGGCAAGGTTCCGAACTGGGATCAGGGGACGGCAACGGGAATATCTAGCGTCAGGGCGTCACTGCGTCCTGCATTTTAAGAGGTTGCTTGGCTCCACCTCCAGACACGTAATGTTGGGTATCGCAGGCTAAAAGGGCTGCAATCACGGAATACTGACAACGAGGTCGAGCGCCGACCAGGCAAATAAACACATCTAGGCAATCAAAGTATGCGGTCCAATGTGGGCGCGCAAATCGCCGTCTTTCTTATATACCCGCGTGTTCGCTGATGTTTGCTGATCTCACTGATGGGTGGCGCTCTGTTAGCTGGCCAGGGCGGCTCTTATGATTTGATGGCTTGGACGTAATTCGCGTGCACGGAGCGGCATCGTGCGCATGGCAGATATGCGTCGTGTCGGCCTCGCCCTCAGTCGATTCGCTCGGAGGGGGAAATGTAAAACCTCTATTGCTGCCACCCACCCATCCCTCTCGATGTCGTTAGCACCCCCCGCCAGGCTATCAGTTGTTTTGCTGATCGCAAGACTGAAGGAGATGCCAAGGCCGGCTGTCTGTCCCATGTGGACGTTGTCGCGCAAATTGCGGCTACTGGAATCGTACGTGGGAACGAACCAAGCATGCCTGAGGCTCTGTTCACAGGCTGTCTCTGCGGCCTTGCAGATTACCTAGCGACCGGCTTAATTCGCTGGACTTTCTTGGCAACCTAGGTAGTACTCTACCGGTACTGGACCGATCTGCTTTGCATGGGTTTAGTCATTGTCGACCACCGACCAAAGCGTGAGCCCCTGTCCACACGACACGAGTTTCTCGTCATCAATATTCTTCTGCGGATGGACCGTGAGACGAAATGCAATAGATCGTGATGGCTGTGGCGCCAATCGACGCACTTCGGACGCCATAGCCTCCTGCATGAGCTTCTCCATGGTTCCCATGACGATCAACTGTGGCCATGCATGCGGCCGCTTCCGTCTCTTTGTCTCTAACCCTGTGTCCGTTCGTGTCCTGACAAACGCGTATGTGAGAGCCTCTTTTGTTGTGACTTTGCAAGTATCTGAACGACTGAACGAAACAACACTCCTCAGCACTGTTCCTGCTGCTCCACTCAACCACACACTAATAATGCGCTTTCTGTTGCGCATGGTGTCGCAAACAATCCTGACACGAGGGGCGTCTCGGATGCTCTTGCAACTGCGTAACTGACGCCATAGCTGCGATTTGAAACAGACTGCTCAAGAAACCAGAAAATTAGTATGCTTCTGTGTGTGAGATCACTTGGCCGAGATCGCCTTGGGCTGACAAGGCATCCAGGTGTTGAAAAGTCGTACCCCACAATCACAAGCCAAGGCTTATATTCGTGATCCGCCGACGTGGGGTAAAGCTGCATGTACATAATCGTTTCACGCGGCCATTCCAGTCAAAACTTCGCTATGCCACTGCCATGACAGCTGTCACTATAATGCCCCGTGTCTCTAGGCTCATCGAGTGCTCGCTTGCACCTTACCTGCCCACTGCGGATGTTGTTGCTGCAATCGGTGTGCTATGCGTGGTAGCGCACATTGGCGACTATCGGAAAATATGTTTGCTACGCGGCGATTGGCTTCTCCAGCTATCGAAGGGCCTACGGCGCGCGTCCTTGGGACGAAAAGTGGATAGCATACCTAGATACGTAAGGGTAAAAAAGCGGTGGGTGAACGCCAACGCTTCCCCGGCTCGACTCGGAGCGCTTGTGCGCGGATATATTGATAAGTCAGCAGCGAGGCGAGAGGCATTTATATCACTTCCCATCCCCAGCTTTGCTCACTCCACCACCACAACGTCTCCGATAGCAATCACCAGTTAACTGAAAGCTTGTTACCTCTTACCTCTCATCAACTACACCTAAATTTCCCCGGGCCATTGCCCAGCTGTCAAGACGTTTTCCAATCTCCTCAGCTCGTATGTGTACCCCTCCATGACATTATTGTGACTTTTCGACTTACACTCTATAGGATCCACAACCCATTTGCCGGCCGACGCACTTCTCCCTCTGGGGCAGCGTCGGACTTAGACTTCCGCAACTAAGTTCACCAATTAACAAAAACTTAAATCATCATCATGGCGCCACACGCAGAAGACAGCGTCGGCCACGCGAATGGGTTCGATGTGAAGACAGCTCCCAAGGATCTCTTTGTCGTCAATTCTCCTAATGTAGAGTACACCGAGGACACGATCAAGTCAAAGTACACTTACCGTACCACCGACGTTACCAAAAACGCAGACGGTAAATATGTCGCCGTGCCCAAGGAAACTCTCTACGACTTCAATGTGGACCGCAAGATCCCCAAGACTGGTGTCATGCTGGTTGGCTGGGGCGGCAACAATGGAACCACTGTCACCGCCGGTATCATTGCTAACAAGCGGAACCTTGTCTGGGAGACCAAGGAGGGAAAGCGCGCCGCCAACTACTACGGTTCCGTCATCATGGGCTCTACCACCAAGCTCGGTGTCGACAGCAAGACTGGCCAGGAAATCTTCATCCCTTTCCATGACCTGCTGCCTATGGTCCACCCCAATGATCTTGTCGTCGGTGGTTGGGACATCAGCGGCATGAACCTTGCGGACGCCATGGACCGTGCCAAGGTCTTGTCCCCCTCTTTGAAGACGCTTGTTCGTAAGGAGATGGGCGCCATGAAGCCCCTCCCTAGCATTTACTACCCGGACTTCATTGCTGCCAACCAGGAGGAGCGTGCCGACAACGTCCTTGAGGGCACCAAGGCTTCCATGGCCCATGTTGAGCAGATCCGCAAGGACATTCGGTAAGTCCTGGTATGCCAATCACCATTATTCCTGCTAACAGTTCACAGTGACTTCAAGACTGCTAACAACCTTGACAAGGTGATCGTACAGTGGACTGCCAACACTGAGCGTTACAGCGAGATTCTTGAGGGCGTCAATGACACTGCGGACAACCTGCTGAAGTCTATTGAGGCTGGCCACGAAGAGGTCGCTCCCTCCACTGTCTTTGCCGTCGCTTCGATTCTCGAGGGCGTCCCCTTCATCAACGGCTCTCCTCAGAACACCTTCGTTCCTGGTGCTATCCAGCTCGCCGAGAAGCACAATGCCTTCATTGGTGGTGATGACTTCAAGTCTGGACAGACCAAGATGAAGTCTGCTCTGGTCGACTTTATGATTAGCGCAGGTATCAAGCTTACCTCGATTGCCTCGTACAACCACCTGGGCAACAACGATGGCATGAACCTCAGCTCTCAGAAGCAGTTCCGTTCCAAGGAGATTTCCAAGTCCAATGTTGTCGACGACATGGTCGCTGCAAACAATGTCTTGTATAAGGAGGGTGAACACCCCGACCACTGTGTCGTCATCAAGTACATGCCTGCTGTCGGAGATGACAAGCGTGCTCTGGACGAGTACTATGCTGAGATCTTCCTCGACGGTCATCAGACCATTAGCTTGTTCAATGTCTGCGAGGACTCCCTTCTGGCCTCTCCTTTGATCATTGATTTGGTCCTTGTGGCTGAGATGATGACTCGTGTTCAGTGGAAGGCTCACAGTGCTGAGGGTAGCGATGCCAAGTTCAACAACTTCCACAGCGTCCTCAGTGTCCTCAGCTACATGCTCAAGGCTCCTCTCACCCCTCCGGGCACTCCTGTCGTCAATGCTCTCGCCAAACAGCGAGCTGCTCTCACCAACATCTTCCGTGCCTGTGTCGGACTTGAGCCGGAGAACGACATGACCCTTGAGCACAAGCTCATCTAGAGGGTAGGGGAGATTGGCGATTTGTGTCTGGTAACTTAACCGCACGCATGCGACTTGCAGCTTCATCAAAGCTCATGTGGCTATGATCTGATTTGACCAACTCTATACTCTCTTTGAAGCAATACAAAATCCATAACGGACACTTACATATACTCACCTTCTGTTTTCCCGTCACGTGAATCTCTTTTGCACATAACCGACGAAGTCTAATTATGTCCTTGATTGCTCAAATCGTGGATAAGAGCAGCTTTGTATGATCTTCTAATGTATGTATGCATCTCTGTGGTGAACGTAAGTGCTGAATCACGAGGTGCGGAATTTCGCCTTGAACGCGCCTGCCTTCTGAGCAACTGAAACCCTACTTCAAAAATCAGCATCGAACTCTTCCCCATTTCATTGACACTAGCCTGCCTTCAGAATGCCAGCGTCATCCTCAATACAGTCCTACTTCTCTTTGCCGAGAAAGAATGGTGATGGGTTCACCCCCGAGGAGATGCAGTCGGCTCTTTCCACCAAAAGAGCGACTGCAGCAAGTGCATGGACAGTACGTCACTGCGCCAAGACGTCGGTAGTCAGTCAATTACTAACATAGAAAAGCCGACACTCGACTATGAGGAAGCCGGCATAGGCACACTCGAACCCGGTCCGCGTCATCTCACTCTCATGGGCCGGATAGTGTATTTCAACGACCAAGCCAAACCCAGCAAGTCGCACAAGGCAGCTCAAGGATGCATTAGAATAATGGTATCAGACGACACTGGCGTACTCACTGTTCGTCTTTGGTATGCGAATACACAGTACAGGCTCAAACTGGGCCAGCTAGTGAGCCTTTGGACAGTGCACATTTCGAATTCCTCGGAACACAACTCACTCGCCCCAAATACTGCACCGCTTTTCACAACCATGTTCCCCGAGGGCGAGAGAAACTGCCATTTCATGGTTCACGAGAACAGCGATGATGGGACAAGGTTCAAGCGACCGTATGGTGTGAGCGAATCGAGAGTGTTGCCGGGTTTAATGACGCTGAAGAGCTTCACTGATGGTGGGTATGATGTCGAGGAGCCGAAACTACTCGTCTGCGTCAAGAGCATTGGTGCGAGGAAGAAATGTGTGTCACTCCAGTCTCCGTTTCCCACCACATCTCGGCATTAACGTACCACGACAGACATGAACCGCAACGGCACAACGTCCGAACTCATCTCCCTCGGCATCTTTGACGACACTTCCGACGGCCTCCTCACCCTCTACTCTTCCATGTGCGACTCCGCCTCCCTCTTCACCCCCTCCAAAACAGTCCTCCTCATCTCGAACCCCGGCTGGCGCATCGAGAAGATTGCCAAATTGACAGTCAGCGGTAATTCTCGTGTCGATGTCGACCCAAACATGGGTGATGCACATCGATTGAGGGCACTCGCCCAGCGATTGACCAAAAAGGAGCACGTAAACCCCCCTTTCCCACTCACCACCGCAGAAGTCCAGGAATACGGGCACGCAACAGTGAAGGCCCTATATACACTGGCCAATGTAGACTCCACCGCTCGCGCCCTTTCAAACAAGGGTTCCACAGACACGATAGTCGGCTACTTAAGCGTCATAATCACCGAACTCAACATCGTCACGCCGTCAAAACGCAACATGCTCATGAGCAACGAATGCTGCGGAATCCCCATCTTCGCAAATAGCACATCTGTGCAATGTAGACAATGTGACAAACCAGTCCATCTAAGAGTTAATCCTAGAATCGTAAGTTCCCTTCCCCTTCTGTCTTCCCTCCTAATGTCGACTCCTACAGCTCGGCCCCCTCCTCGACGAAACAGGCCAAATCAGCCCTGGCAAACTCATCCTCTCAGACGCTGCGTGGAATCAGCTGCTAGGTCGCACGCCCCTGCAACTCGCGGAGACTGATGTAGAGGTACTGAGGTATCTGGAGCAGAGGCTGCTTTTTCTGCGTGTCACGATGGGGTTTGCGCTGAGGCTGGAGGGGGATATTGGGAGGTTGGCTGTTTGGTGTGTTGGGAGTTAATGGGGGTGCGGTGTACTAGAGAGGAGGAAGGGGGTGTGATAGAGAACGAGGAGAGTATGAGAGGGTGATGCTGCATTCTCGCGGATTTCTACAGGAACACGATGGTCGTTACAACCACTTCTGACGCGAATGCGAAGCAGGGAGATATGTGTACGATAATTTCAGGTACGTATATCTACATATCCAAAATTTCCCTAGCCAAATTGGCAAGTCTTAGGGTCCTTTTAAACCCTAGTTGAAACGGGGTCATTCCCAACCCCAGAGTCCATTCTAATCCAATGCCATGTCCGCCCGCTGACAACACCATGCCAAAAATGCGTCTCAATATGGTTATACAGACTTGAACCCAGCATACCTCTCTGAACGAGGGGAAGAAACCCCACCTACCCTATATAGCAAAAAAAAAGCTACAAAAGAGAAGAAAGACCAAAAAACGCCACATATGATCATTCTTTCATATACGAGCCACGAGCCTCACAAGTGTGCCCGTTGAAAAACAGAAAAACAGAAAAAAATCGCAGATGAACCAAACACGGCCTCGGTGTTATAAATCTTCATCTTGATCAAAAAAGGCAACGACCGTACTATCATTCTCACCCCGCACCCTCCCCCAGCACGCCCGCCAACCCTCTTAGCACATCGCCCACACCAACGCCCACCGTCCCCACCCTTTCCTTGGCCTCGCGATCTCTTTCCTCCAGCCTCCTCGCTGCCGTCGCAAGAACACGATCCGCGACGCGCTCAGCCGTATTACGATACTGCTCAATCTTATGGAGCCCGTCTGCAAAGACATCGATGTGTGGTTCGAGGGAATTGGCGAGGGAGTCGAGGTGGGATTGTAGGGATGCGGGGGATGTGAAGCTGAAATTGAAGGTTGAGGAAGGCGGTTGTGGTTCTTGTTGGAGGGCGGAGAGGATGGCGGCTTGGGATGGGTCGAGGAGGGAGGCGTCGATGGCGGAGAGGGGGGGTGGTGTGGAGTCCGGAGGGATCGAGGGTGCAGGGGTGGGTTTTGAGGTTGAGGCGATGGTTTCCCAGGCTGCTTTTTCTTCTTCTAAACTGTTTTCGTGTCAGTAATGCGTTGCGTGTGGAAAGGAGGGAAGACGTACCGTTTGACTTCCTCTTCTAACTCCTGTAGTGTGGCTTTATTCTTCTCGTTTTGGGGGTTGGGCTTCTTTACTACAGGGGGTGCTGGTGGTTCTTCCTGGGTGGTCATCAGTTTCCAGTCATACCGCTTTGCTCGTTTGTCAGACGTACCCTACTGAACCAGTCTGAAAGTTCAGGCCTGCTTGCAAACTCATCAATGAGCTCTTGTTGTATCGCTCGCGCAGCCATGATTGCATTCGCATTCTTAACGTCGCCCGATGGCTTCGCCGGCAGCGCTCTCGTTCCACACCATGTCAATAATTGCTTCATCCGCCGTGGCTCGGGTAAACTTTGCTCGATGTACTTGTAGAAATCGTGGGCTTCGACCTCAGAATGTGGTAGTGCTGCAAGATGTTAGTTCATGGTAACCCCTCAAACGCGTCAGACAACGCTTATTCACTCTAAACTAACCATTGGACTGACCGCTATCAATCAGCGAGCTTGCCCGTCTTCCCCGCAAGCCTGTGCTGCTCCTCCTCGGCCCATCCTTGTTGCCCTTCCGCATTTCCTTGTTCCGTGTAATGACAGGTGTGTCGGCAAAAGGGAGCATGATTCTTTGCGCGTTCGGGTCGCGCTTCCTCGCGCCTGTTGTTGGTGTTTGCACAGCTGCATACGCGCCCTTTGGTTCTGGCTGAGGTTCGGGAGCCGGTGTAGTTTGCTTCTTCTTTTCCTTTTCTACCGGCGCGACCTTCTTCGTGCGTGGCTTCGCTGGTGGAGGATGCGGGACCTTTGGACGCACTTCCAATTGTTCCCTGTCGCCAGAGATACGCGCTGATCTCCTTCGCTTGCTCGAGTCTGAAGTTTCTGGGTCAATCGCAGCAATTGACTTCTTCTTCTGTCGCGATGTGGTTTTGGCCTGTTGCGTCTCCAGAGCTCGTACGGGTTTCGCTGGTTTCTCCTCAGGTATGGGTTCTGGGGCTGGCGCTGTATTTGCCTTTGTAGTCCTTCGTGAAGTGCGACGCGAGAATTGGAAGCCATCATCGTCCTCGTCGTATGCAGCAGCTTTGGTAGCCTTCTTTGTCGCAGCAGCCGTCCTCTTAACTGTTCCATTCACTTCTGTTTTCGGTCGCTTCAACGCGGGCGCATCATCGTCCTCGAAGGCTTGTTTTGCGCTCCTGCGTCGCGTCGTTGGTCGGTTTGTGGCCATAGGAAGCGATTGGAGCGGAGAGCGCGCGAAAATGGTAGTCATGAGTCCAGTTGTTGCGTTCACGGGAGGTTCGGTGTGTTGATGTTCGGTCCAAGCGCGTGCATTGGCGCGACGGCGAGATGGGGAGCTATCGACAAGAAGATTGGTAGCGCAAATGAGAGCGATGGCGGATGGAGAGAATCTTGTCGTATCCGTAAATGTTCGTAATGATTTGAGCGGTAATGTGAATATCCTTGGGCCGGGCGTGGAGGGGAATGGTTGTCACCCGGAAGTAGGGAAGCTGGTGTGTGCACTGCCGCCAGCATCATCAAAACAATGATTTTGGGACTAGCGCACTCACGTGACATTAATTCACCCCTCACCACGCGAACAGAACGCGTTTATGCACATGCAGTGACAGTAGGTGTAAGGATATTTGGCACAGGCCGAGCGTCACACGCTGTCTATATACATATGCTTCATCCATCTATGCTCACCAGCCAAAGTCAAGTCGCTCAGACACTCACAAGCGTGAAGCGATTACATACGCCGCTAACATATGCTTCCATGTCATGACCTTACTCCAGGTACACCCACCAGAAAAGTGATGAATATCCAAGCCTACCCACGCCTTTTACGTAATCCTTGCTGCAATCAGATCTATTCTACATCCCAGCTCCAGGCATGGGTCCCTTCACGCCTTCAGGAGCGAGGCTACCTTCAATACGGCGCTTAGCGTCCTGTTTCTCTTCCAGAGTAGGGTTGGATTTGCGCATGTCAGGGGCATATGCTGGTCTGTTGGGGCTATGACCAATTGACATGCCAACGCGGACCTGATAGTGTTAGTGATGACCACACATTGTTGGGGCAAGAACTTACAAGCGTTTCAAGGGCAGAGTTTGAGTTGTCCACAAGGTCCTCGTCGTATCTCATCTGACCAGGTTCGAAGAGAAGCAGCAAGGTACTTCCACCAAACTTGAAGTATCCTAACTCTTCAGCACGCTTCACTTGCTCGCCCTTCTTGCGCGTAATGACTGTGCTACCAACCATCATGGCGCCAACGCAGATGACCATGACGCGGCCATGAGCGACGGAGTCAATAGGAACCACGACACGAACGTTTTCGCCATATACGTCGAGAGCAGAGCGAATAGCCATTGGGTTGACTGTGTAGTACTCTCCCTCAATCGTCTTCGGTTCGTCCATGACACCATCGACAGGAATGTGGAATCGATGGTAGTCTTGCGGTGCCAATCGGAAGATTCCGAGAGAACCTCCCTGGTAGCGCTTCACATCTTGAGGGTATGCTTCACCAAGCAGACGCTCGACAGTAAAGTCACGGCCCTTGACCCAGATAGCCTGGGCTGAGTCGATTGTGTTGAACACAACAGATCGACAATCGGAAGGAGAAACGATAACTCTTGGGTCATCTGGAGCAGAGCATGGACGAGCACCTGGCTTCAGTGCGCGATAGAAGAACTCGTTAAAGTTCTTGAATTGGTCTGTTGGCAGTAGTACCTCGGACATGTCGAGCTGGTGGAAGTTTATGAATGGTACAATCTCCGAGGCCGAAGCAGGATCATCATACTTGCGTCCCTGCTTGAAGCTGAGAGACTTGAGCAGCTTTCGGACTGTCAATTGTCAGTATGCAGATATGGAAAACGAGACTGATGACTTACTTCGCTTCTTTTCCATGTTGTTTGCCTTTAGACCCTTGTAGAGCAGGCGAATGCCCAAGCGGACATATACGCTCATACGCTCTTCGTTAATCTGCCCAGTAAGACGGTCTTGAACAAGAATGTTTGCCGAGTTCGCACCCAGCTTGTAGCCACCATAAGAGATCTTGGTGATGACTTTGGAGTACCACTTTCGCTGAGCTTGACTTGAAGTGACAAATCCGGCCATGACGATGTTATTAACTTGCCGCCAGTCTTGACTTGCGCATGTAGCGATGTGTGTGATAATGTTGGCATCGGACCTCTTGTTCAACTTGGGCTGGTGACATATGGGGCATTCACGAATTTCGATGACATGCTCCTCGCCCTTTTCATCCGCCAAGTCGTCAATCTGGATGTTCTCGCCTTCTTCACCCCCCTGGCCCAACGTGTTGGTCTCTAGGACGGGGATGGATGTAGTAGAGCCGTTCTTATTGATTGGTGTAAGCATTCCAGATGTCGACGCGGGAGTCTGTGTGCCTGATTCGAGGTAGCCCGACCTCTTTGCGTCTCTCGCTTCTGTGAGCTGGAGCTGATCTTCCAGACAAATGACGGCTTCGTCAAAGGTGAGGAGTTGGTCCCCATTGTGTTGGTCAGCAAATCGCTCAAAGAAGCTGTCTATGGTCGACTCGTGTAGAGTGGAGCCAAGGGTATCCAGCATGGTAGTCAGCTCGACCTTATCTAGGAGACCACTTTCATCGGCATCGTATTGCTTAAGCATAGCTCTCCAGAACTGCTGTCGAAGGGCTTTGTATGGCAGGTACTTTGCGCGAATGTAAAGGGTGGGGTTGTGCTTGTTATCCCAACGCTCTTTCTGTTTCAGCTCCAAAGGGAGTGTGTACATTTTCAAATCCTCATCATCTGCGGTGTTGATGTTGACCGCGCCAGCAACTGCGAGATTACCGTTGGAGTCGATTGCAGTGGTCTGTGGGGCGCTTGTGCCCATAACGGGAACCGAGTCTTGTGCGGTCAGCGAACCAGTCGAGCTTTCCTTCTTTAGAGATGGCCGAGACAGACGCGAAAGGCTGTGAGTGGAGCCGGAGCGAGAGATTGGAAGACGGAAGCGGGATTTTTTGCCGTTGGAATCCGAAGGAGAAATGCCAGGAGAGTCTGACGGTTCAGGGAGCTTGTAGAGGCCAGTCTCTGGGTCTTCCTGGGGGGCTGTGGAAACAGCCTTTTCGAGCGGGAAGTTTACTGTGCCAACGTAGTCGTTCCCTGAAAACTTGTCCTTGTCCATGACGGTGAAATTGACAGAGTAGTTGGTCTCGTGCCGCTGGACTTGGAAGATGAGCTTCTCGTCGAATACGGGGTTCAGGTTGTGGCTGATTGTTCTGGTTCGGTACGTCTTCTTGCCGAGCGAGGTCACGACAAAGGGGTCCATATCGAATGTGGTGCGGGTGACTAGAATTGAATGAGCATGCGCCAGGCTGGGCGGCCAGAGAAAACTCACCGTTGCGCTCTGGTGGCAGGTCGGTACACTTTTGAATCTCTAGGAAGAGGACACCAGCTATGTCGCCGGTACTTGAGTATTCGTACTGAGTCTTGCCCTTTGCCTTTCTCTTGAGTTTGGCCAACTTGAGCTTCTTTCGCCGCTTCTCCCTCTTCTCAGCCTTCTTCGACTCATCCTGCGCCTCGTCTGAGCTCGACTCGTCTTCGGCGTCGGTAGGGTTGCTGTTGCTCTGCATCAGGAGTTCGTCGTCGTCGTCATCGGGGTTCGGTGTCTGTGTGGCAATGGCGAAGAACTTCTGTAGCGTCTGCTCAGGGGTCGCAGTGAGGTTGAGGGGGTCGATGAGGGAGAACTGGATCTGGATCTCGCCTGACACAATCGACTTCTTCTTGCCGGATCGCCGTGACTGTAGGGGGAACCACTGCGGCTCCTGGTGTGTGAGTCCATTCTGAAACTGATCCTCAAGTATGACGTCAAACTCGCCCATGTAGTCCTTGCCAAAGCGGTCCTTGTCCCAGCAGACGACTTCAAGCAGGAGGCTCTGCTCGCCGAATATGGGCAGTTCGACCGTCTCATTCCATTGGGGGTTTAGTTGCTTGTTTATGGCGGGGGTGGTGACTTTTGCATCGCCGAGGGTGAGGACGAGGTACTGCGACCATTGTGGTTAGAGACAGATTTGGGGTGTGGTAGGTGGCGAAGGAACACCTACTGGGTCAGAAGTGCCACTCCGGTCCTTTGCAGCGAGATCTCTGCCCTGCATTCATGTTAGTTGGGGGCGCATTGTTGACATGTCGACGTGGGTGGGCAGGCGCACCTTGATGACATTCGCTCGCAGGACTAAACCGGGCACTTGGTGTTGTTCAGACATGTCTGATCTTTGCTTGGGTTTGGGGCTCCCGTTGCGACTCTGGGGCACAGACGTGGGAGTGAGATTGGCGCCGTTGGAGTTGCTGGATTGCGGGTGCTTGAGGCGGTGCGGAAGCGAGAGCTTGCTGGTAAATGTAGGTCGCGGCATGTTGGCGGGATACGCGTTCGATCGGGACTTCCTGGCCGGACCGCGGAAGCCAAGTATTGCTTGACGACGCGCCGGGCGGTTGGCAGAACGTGGCTCAGCACATGTAAGTAGGCCGGGGGTGGCGTCTTGGACTTGGATCGTCGGCAATGGTGATGGAGAATAAAGGTCAGGGGAGATTGATGAGTTGTGAGGGTTGAAGGAGGCCAGACGAGACGAGACAAGACGGAGAGATGTCGAAGAGCAGTAAGTTAGAATAGAGCTTAGGGGCGCCGCATATCTAGGTAGCTTTCACAACCAGCTGAATGACGGCAGGCCCGCAATGTGTCTCTTGCGGCCTTCTAGGGAGCTGCGCTTGCCGGCACATGCGGCTGGCTTTAGCCATGCGCCCCCAGACCCTTATCCACGGTAATGCGCAACTTGCAAACTTGATGCCATTCGCGACTTGAAACCTGCAAGCGTTACTATCACGCTTCGTATCCAGAGCCCCTCAGTCCCGACCCTACCTGCCATTTGTCATCCCTGTGCAACCCGTCGCTGTTGTATAAAGTTGCATTCGGGCCTGTCACAAATGAAATGCCGCAACTCCCATGAACCGCGGACACAAGCCTGCATCGAGAGCCTCCCGACTACACTAGGCGCTACATATCGCCTTGCGCCTAGCGGGCTACTACGAACGCGTGGGATTTCGGCACTGCCTTCTACGCTGATTACGCGCAATCGCGAGACAGAGAAGCTTCTTCCACGTACCACGATACCCTCTGTCGTCACCTAGGTCAGACAGGAATCACGCCTGGCCCCAATCTCTAACTTGACCACGACAATTACCACCAAACGTTTGCCGTTCCTGGCTGCTGACAGACGCGCAGTATCGAACGAGGAGGCACATGGCCTGCATCATGCCCCTCCATGCATATTGGTGGGGTACTTTCTTTACTTAGATACACCAACCGGCAATCTCGACCCGCTGCTTACTTCCAGGCCCTGAACGTCACTCTTCTTACTCTCCACACCATGCCGATCCGCCTTAGCCGTGGCTTACGTGTCTATCACCGTGGCTGACGTTGTGGCTTAGCAGGTGCGTCTTGATACTTGCTCTACACGAGATGCGAGTTTGCATTGGCATCGCCCGGAGTCCGGACTACGTCATTTCCAAGCTCCGTATTCCTTTTTCCATCGGCTGCCAATGGTTTCCACCAAGGAGCTAGAAAATCACGTGTTTAGATAGTCAAGGTTGCAAAGTAATCCAGTTGGCGTCCAAGAGCGGACTCTCGGACATTTCCAACTTTCCCACACACATGCATCCAACTACCTCCTCAGATCGCCCTACATCTGGGACATTCTAACGGGAAATTATCCCGAAGTATGAGTTACCATACATCTTCCAGAACGACAACGACTATAGCTTTCCACACGCCAACCCTATATGTGGACACAACGACAGCTATTTGTAACATAAAGGCCACATATAAGCTGATGGTTCCAGTAGCGTTTCGCAAACACTTCACATCTGACGTCGGGAGCGTCTATGCCGGTGCAAGGTAAAGTTGTACTTTGCTCTGCTTGGATAATCGCGTGTATCTTGAACGATGTTGTTTCGCGCGTTACTATCGACTCAGTAAAACCGCCCACCCATAACATTACGCCAAAACATCACACCATTGCGGCCATTAGCTCTGTGAAACTTGTCTTCACAATCTCTGCTGACAACATATACAAACAACCACCCTCAGCCACTCTCTCAAACACCCACATAAAACCACGTCTTCACCCGCATCCTTCTACGACTCGCGCTAAACCCCATATCCCACCTGGGAAGATCCCCCAAACGAGTATATTCCAAGCTAGTGAGCTGACTACAAATAGCACCCTGAACGGCACCAGCCATGTCAGCCTTGCGTGCCTAGATACCCGCGCCGAGATCAGAGGCAGGCAGTCAATTTCCCCATTTTTAACCATGCAATTCCTCCATTTCCCCATCTTCACCATCTTCCTGTTCTAGACGCTGTCTCCTAACACCATTCTGACTACCGAAACGCGATCGGTCTAGTTGCCCTCACTCCAGATCGACGGTAATCTTGTCCAACAACGCTTCCGTGCTTCTCTGCGGAAGGTGGGTCTCGGCTTGCGGTCCGAAGTCAGAACATAGTGCTTACCTCAACTACGCTAGTCGCGAGGTGTCTGGAACTCCATTTCTTTGTAGTACAGTATTAAGGCACGCTTAATGGAGTCTAGGCACGAGACTAGCTGGTGTTATGTGATTCGGCCGCCCATGGGGAATTTCCATCATGACCCTTATCTTGATGCTGGGTCGCTGCGTCTAGAGAGCGTTATGGACGCTGATGTGCAGCATTTTAACTCGAGTTAGCTTTAGCCTCCTTGCCTCTGGACCGGTCTGCTACGGGGCTGACTCGGCGCAAGGGGCCTTGGTAAGGTGTAGTTTCCTCGCGTCTCCGGTTGCTCCACCGCTCCTATTCAGATTCCAACGTGAGATCCGTAATCGTGTCTGACTGACAGTCGGTCTGGCAGCCTTGGCGGTGCCTTTGCCGCCCAGCTTGGCGAAGAGCACGACAACAAAAATACTGCGATTGGAATCATCTAATAACAGTGTCCGTTGTTACACCAAGTGCATACAAGGGGCTCGGGTATGCGGCATCTGTGTGTGTGCTCGAATGTTGGCCAAACCACGAAACTTGTCATGCGAGAAATGAACATTTCCAGATACGATACTCATTAAATTCCATATAAGCTGGTCTACCCGATACGCTCCGGTAGAAGAGTAATATGTCAAGATACGATCGTCCACGATGTCCAGTACGCTCCATGTAAGCTGATGGAACATGGAAAACTTGCAGGGGTAAGTTTAATTGTGTGTCATGTGGGGAAGTCGGACTTGTACTATAAAGTCGCAATGAGAACGCAGTCTTCGGGCTCATCTCTGACAGCAAAATCTATCTCAACTACAACACCTCCTCCACAAGATGAAGTCCACCACTTTGATTCCTCTTTTCACCCTGATTCTAGGCGCCTCTGCCTATTTCGTAAGTACTCAAACTTCTGGACATTTCCATTCAACGCCAATCATGTGGTATTAACGGAATTCCAGACCTGCCAACAAGACAAGGACGCAAGCGGTCAGAAAATAGACCCTTTCGAATACCGTGACCATCCTGGATATTGCGTTGGACATGGCGGTTCAGATGAAGGCCGTAGCTCAAAATGCGATACTGTAAGTGTGCTCAAAAATAATCTTTATTTCGTAGATAAAAGACTAATGGAATAGACATTTGCGTGCTACTCCGATGGCAATGGATGTACCCCATTTAGACCGGGTGGTGCATACTGCGGAAAGCTTTAGTGGTTCAAGGGGCTACGCTCAAGGCAAAGGACTATGTACAGGATATTTAGTATGGTAAAGCAATATATATTTATTTAACCAGGCAAGGCACGTGGCCTGCAAAAGGGTATACTCGTATCATCGCTTCTAGCATACTTTGGATTAAAATCGAGATTTTACTATGACTTATAAGTTCTCGTCTCAGCTACCTAATATAACTGACAAGTAACACGTTCTGTCCGTGTTTCCTTTATAATAATCTCCATTATTATGATTAACATGGCTGATACGTAGCAGTCGGTATGTACTGGATCCAGGACAGAATTTTAGGCGTTGTTCGACGGACTAGAGGATACGCCATTATCTAGCAGTGTAGCAAGGAAAACCTTTTACTTCTTTAAGCGGCCTGGTAGATCTAATTGAGAAAGATTTCGTGGCGTAATACGACGTGGAAATGGTCTGCAAAACAGGAACGCGGTTATTCCATTCCCAACTCCAAGAGTGTCATTAGCGGCAACTATACGCAAATGCGAACCCCTACCCTGTGACCAGGAATTGCGGCTGAAACTAAGTAGAAAGCAGCCTAGCAACCCGCCAACATCCCCTTGGTTAGATTTCGTTTAGTCCGCGAAAAGAGAGGTTTTCATTTTTTGCTACTACCAATAACTAATCATGTCCTTCATCTCAGCTGTAGAGAGATATCGGCTCTGATAGCTATTTTCAGAAAACACATACTCCAAGCAGCGGAACTAGCATAACACATGGCAAAAGATACCTTGGTTTAGTCCGGCAACAGGATTGTTAAGGCACAGAATATATACCAAGAACGACTGAGTTCACACTACCTACCTAAGATGCCTCCACCTCATGCCAGTCGACACAACTTTCCAACATGCGAAATTTATCCTGCCACGGTCCGCTAGCTTTCTTGCCAGTCTCTCCTTGTTCCCCCTCTCTTTCAGTAGCCTCGGAGACGTCCTCTACCGCGATATCACCAACCTCAGCCAACTTACTCTTGTAATTCACGAAGTCGTTGAAAACGAGCAATATTCCTCTATCCGTCTCGCGTCTTTCAAAAATCTTGTTCTCATCGTCGGGTTTTGCCTATATGCTGAGATGCGTTTGTCGCTACCATGTTTCAACAACTCCACCAATCCGTAGCCATTTGCACTTTCCCAAAACTCGTACGCGCACCCGCCGGAGAAGATGCGGCTCATAGCGGGCGAGTACAGGGCAGTTGTTTCTTGGAAAAGACGGGGCTGGCGAGAGGGGTTGCCGTATTCTGAGAAGAATATTGGTATGGTGGTGTTGCTGAATCTGTGGAGCTAGATGAGAGAATTAGATCGGTTATAGACAATCGGAGAATAGTCAAGAACCTACCAGGTCGTCGTACCCGGATCCGGTCGTGTCGGATTTCTTCTTCCATTCAAAGTTCGAGCACTGCAGTATATGTTAGCGCCTAACATACCTTCAACTCATGACAATGCACTCACCGTCCAGAAATCAATCGACATGTCATTATCGCCGGCAGTCAGATATTCCAATATCTCCTGGTCCCTTGCACTGCTCGTCGCCGCACTATACCCAATGGGAATCACGCGTTGCCCATTAGCTTCATTTCGGAGCTTCATGTACTTCTTCAAATCCCGCACGGCGGTTTTGAGAACGCCGGCTGCGGGCATGGTAGAATCATTGTTGATCACCGTGTTACCAGCGAGGAGACCCAGCGTATTCGGAAAGCCAGCCATTATGTCTACTGTCTTGAAGAAGGAAGCCATGGTGTCCGGGTTGTACGACTCGGTTGGAGCCAGGCGGCTGATAGCGTTCCATGGTGTTGAGACAGCCTTGATGGAAAACATGCGTGGGTCAGCTCAATATACAAGTAGCAAAGCGGAAGAAGACTACCCACTGTGAAGACGTATATTCCTGCTTCTTCAAGCAGCTTCATGGCCTCAGTGTGATGTTTCGTACTGTCTATGCCGTCTTAGCACATGAATCAGCTTTCGTCACAATTCTAGTTGCTGCCCGCGCCTACAAACAAAGAGTGTATTCAGGCCAAGCTCCTTGAAGAGAAGAATGTCATGTTTGAGTTCCGCGAGGCGATCGTCCGAGATGGGATCACGTGCAGAGTCCACTTGGTATGCAACGCCTCTTATGAAGAACTTTGTCTTTGGTATTAGATTCAGCTTCATCGAGCGACGACGAGGCAAGGCTTACTCGATCATCTCCTCGCCAGAGGAAACGTCCGCGAATTCGTATTGGAGGACAGGTGATGCTAGCGCTCATCTTGAAGAAGATGTCAAGCGGGGTCGGCTAAGCGAAGGATGCAGATAGAAGTGGTAGAAGCCGAGTTCAGCACAGCACCACCTCTATCGGTCTGGTTAACTAGTTCAGGTATGTGTATTGTAGGGTGAAATGGTAAATAAATAGGGCATACCTAATAGTAATCTCTGTCGAAGATGTGACGAGTTGCTCACTGTGAACTTGGAAGCGTTACCGCATAACGTCATGCATCTTCATGTGACCGGGCTGCCAAGGTAATTCGACATTCGCGATCCGGGTTGTGGAAGATGGAGACTTTTTTTACTTCAATTTTGGATCGTTCAGAGCTTCTTGTGGTAAATGATAGTGAGTCCCTTATTGGTAGTGTGATAGAACTGTGGTGGTCTCGAGAGGACGATGGGCGGACGCGAGTTTGGCTAGCTACCTAGGTACCTGTCGAATTATAATTCTGGTGTGGATAATTTGTGCATTATTTAGCTGTTTATAATTTGCCAATCAATATCAATCCTTTATAGTAGGACAAGATTAAGTACAAGACAAAGCTGTAAATAGCATCTGGACTAAACACCTAGAGTACAGTTACCACAGACAGTTCATGGCGATAGCCTCGCCCAAACTCTCAACCATAAGCTGGAGATGGCCGGACACAGTCCTATACCCATTGTCTTCCTTCGATGCAAACTTGGCCGTAATGATGTGGTCTGCGTGAATGAGAAATGGCTCTGTGCCAGTGGCGGCGGGGATAACTGCCGATGCCTTTAACACTATTTATGTAAGTTGTTGATGTTCAACAAAGATGGGTCACTGAGTTTGGGGTGCCGTAAATTCCAAGACTATTCGGCCACCCGGGTAGACTCAGACTCCGCAACAATCAATCGATCGACATGATTGATTCCTATATAGGTTAAAGAGTTACTTTATTAGGCAGCCTTTAACCTAGATAGGAATCAATCATGCCGATCCGATTGATTGTTGCGGAGTCTGGGTAGACTAGTACCGCAAGAGTATGTATCGGAAGTACAAATGCGCAAGAAAGCTGGAAAAGGTAATCTGAAGTTTTCGGAGACATGTGAAATCGTACGGACTTGATGACTGTGCCTCTTAATTGATCTGTTGCCAATGGCTCAGTATGGACGTGAGCACATGCAATCCCCTCGATCCATGTACCCTACCAGGTGTACACTGATGAACGTGTAAGTGTTTGTGCTGGGTATAGAATCATGATCTAATACGCGGCAGTCGATTCGCGGGGTTCGTAGAGCTCCAGGGTTTTTCTCGTGATCTTTAGAAGTGTTAGTCGCGTGCGCTTTGTTGCTAGCTAATTCAGGCTTTACTTACCACTCCCCGTATCTAAATTCCCATAGGACTAAAGGTATGTTGAAGGGCAAAAAGACACCGTGAACGAAGCACACCGTTTTACCTTTTGCTCGCACAACTCAGGTCAGGTCGCATGACTCAATGCTGTAACCGTAAAGCTGTGCCACATCTTAGCGAGAACCGCTCAACCTGCGTAAGCAATCAATCACCCAGCAATACGAAACGAAGCAACAACAATGGAGACTTTTCATCCCTTTCCTCGCTTCCCTCTTGAGCTTCGCATCCAGATTTGGGAATCAGCTGCTGAACTGGGTCGGGTTGTCAAAGTCCGGAAGCTGCACGGTACCAATCATTACTCGTCGCCCACACCAGCCCCTGCAGTTACGAGAGCATGTCGGGAATCTCGCAAGTACTGCGTGTACCAGAAAATCTTCGTTGTCGACAGATCTCCCCGGTATATCTGGACATGCCTGGAAACAGACGTTATACAGATGGATAGCTACCTGATAAAGGAGTTGGTTAAAGAAGATAGCCTAGAAAAGCAGGAAGTACGATACTTGCGGCTCGAGTTGATGAGCTTCAGCGGATGGGATGCGTCAGATTTCTTCTATCACGACCATTCACGCAGGATTCGCCATTTCCCCAAGCTGGAGAGATTCGATGTTTTAGTGAACGATGGGCTTTATAATTGGGGACATTGTGTCATGGAGATCAACTGGGGAGCGATTCCAAGGAGCAATGTCCGCATCATCGACGCGAAGACGGGACAATGGATCCATCCGGTGTCAGCTGGATTATACCTAGATTGCTTTGATACTAGTCACGGTGGAACTAGAGACTATATCAGGATTGTTGATGGTTATGACGAAGAGAAGGATGGGGAGGAAAGGTACCAAGCGATGGTGAAGATGAAGGAACCTTTGCCACAGATCGATCTAAATTACTGAGCAGTCGTCTGCTATCCACAAGAAAATCATCAAGGGCGTGGATCAAGACTTTATCGTCTTTCAAGTCTACAATGTAGCCTGCCGGCTATAAGGAGCAATTACTAGGGCCGAGCAAGGACTTGAAGCTCGGCAGCAGTGCGTCTACCTCCAGGCTATCAGCTAGATGCATCAATCTAGTTTACCATAATATAGAGCAGATGCTCAGTATGATATAAACGGTACTCCCAGCTGTCGAGATATGTTTTACAATCCACTCTCACTCTATAGTACCCGATGTCTATCACTTTCTTTAGACCTCGCGGCATGCACTTGGAGACTGAGCCTACGCAGCACTAAGGCCACAATATGATGAAAACCTGGCATGGTTAGCGCGCAACAATTAGGTCATATGTGACTAAACGGCAGCCTTGTTAGAAAAGGCAAGGAAAAAAGAGAAAAAGAAAGAACAAACACACATCTCGCTACTCCGTCCCCAATCACCACCCGCTTCAACTCCAACGAACAAGAACCTCCCGCAAATCGCAAGTCAACAATGGTCCAGACACAAAACCCCGACAGGAACAAAAACAAAAACAAAAACATCACCTAATCACACCAACTAAGAATACAACCGCACCTAGAACACAAGGCCATCCAATGTCAACGGAAACTATTACAACACCGATACCTAGGTACCTACGCAGCGCAATCCCAAACAGGCAGGTACCAACCCCAAGCGGCCCCCAAGTCCAATAACCCCCTCCCCCCCCAACGCCACCCACCCGTGAACTTCTGCCTTTCCCACACCCAGCTAAGTAACTAGCGATCCCAGTCGCGCTAGTAAGCCCTCCCATCTCCGCCCCCCAACACCACATCATCTTAAAAATAAAACACCCGGCTATACCTGCCCTTACGCCCCCTATACCACAGCCACGGGATAAGAACTAGCCCCGGTAATATATAGTATAGTATTACTTTGAAATCGTACGAGGTGAGAATAGTAAGGGTGGTATAGTACGTAAGGGTATGTAAGGACGGACAGGCCGGTTTGCATAAATATTTTAGGGGGGCGTAAGACATAAAGATGGTGCCTGAGACACCTGGGCAGATTGCACGATATGTGTACATGTTTGGTACGATTCCTATGCTCGTCGTTGCTATCGTCGTTGCGGTTGTGATAAGGTGGATCAAAACATGCGCGTTCGAGACTTTAGAAAAACAAAAAACGGAACATCATATGCGCCGCTGATCTGATCCACGGCCTGCATGCGTAATCTACAGGAAAAGAAAATCGAGCGGCATGATACCTCCGAGTCGTCTGATTTCCTTGATTGCTGCGCTGCGTTGCGTTGTGCTACTCTGTTGTGCTCTGCCGTGCGGTAACATGCTGCAAGAGTAAGGCAAAGA